GGCCTTCGGTGGAGCTCCCTATGGGGCCACGAAACGTGTGAGGGGTGTGCCGAAATGGGTGTGCGGGACGCATGCGGACGGCAGCACTGGGGCCTTCGGTGGAGCTCCCTGTGGGGCCACGAAACGTGTGAGGGGTGTGCCGAAATGGGTGTGCGGGACGCATGCGGACGGCAGCCATGGGGCCTTCGGTGGAGCTCCCTATGGGGCCACGAAACGTGTGAGGGGTGTGCCGAAATGGGTGTGCGGGACGCATGCGGACGGCAGCACTGGGGCCTTCGGTGGAGCTCCCTGTGGGGCCACGAAACGTGTGAGGGGTGTGCCGAAATGGGTGTGCGGGACGCATGCGGACGGCAGCCATGGGGCCTTCGGTGGAGCTCCCTATGGGGCCACGAAACGTGTGAGGGGTGTGCCGAAATGGGTGTGCGGGACGCATGCGGACGGCAGCACTGGGGCCTTCGGTGGAGCTCCCTGTGGGGCCACGAAACGTGTGAGGGGTGTGCCGAAATGGGTGTAGGGGACGCATGCGGGCGGCAGCCCTCGGGCCTTCGGTGGAGCTCCCTATGGGGCCACGAAACGTGTGAGGGGTGTGCCGAAGTGGGTGATGACGATGACGATGACGACGATGACAATGACGATGATGATGATGATGATGATGATGATGATGATGATGATGATGATGATGATGATGATGATGATGATGATGATGATGATGATGATGATGATGATGATGATGATGATGATGATGATGATGATGATGATGATGATGATGATGGGAGGAGGGAGGAGGGGGAGGAGGAGGAGAGGAGGTGGGACGCGGGGCGCTGTCTCTTCAAAACGAGGACCCAACACCACAGGATGGTTGGGAAAAATCACTGAGTTTGGCCTTCTCGCCTTTTGCTTTCGATGGCCTTCCGAGGCCTCCAGATGCCTCCTTCTCTTCCTCCTCCTCCTCACTGTCTTAGTCCTCGTCCTCCTCATCCTCGTCCTCCTTCTCCTCGTCTTCCTCCTCTTGCCTCCTCCTCCTCCTTCTCTTTCCTCCTCCTCCTTCTCCTCCTCCTCTTCGCCCCCCCTCCCCCCACACGCGGGCCCAGAGATGGCCCCAACATGCCGTCCAGGCCGGCCTCCCTCGCTGTTTTGACTATGCGTGTCTCTTCCTCTCTCCCCGTGTCAACTCTCATGGGCATCGTTTCTGGATGGGCTGGCGCGGATCCGCGAAGCGTCAATCATTGTGAAGAGACAGTCCCAGCCAGAAAGGTTCTAAGAACATCTCGTGCAGACCACAGAAGATTATGTTAGAACGCTCGATGATGGGCCTAAATAGACAAGCCAGGACGCGTCGCCACTGCTTGAATGATGGGTGCTCGCCGAGAGCCCCTCCTCCTCCTGCTCCTCCTCCTCCTCCGCCTTCTTCTTCTTCTTCTCCTCTTCCCTCTTCCCTCTCCTCCTCCTCCTCCTCCTCCTCCTCCTCCTCCTCCTCCTCCTCCTCCTCCTCCTCCTCCTCCTCCTCCCCCCTCGGGGGGGCCGGACCTGCTGCTCGGCGCCCATGCAGACGGACGCGTGCCCGAAGTCGCTCACGAGGCAGAAGGGGCTGCCGTCGGGCCGGGCGCCGCCCACGAGCACGTTCTCCTCGGGGAGGAGGAGGAGGAGGAGGAGGAGGAGGAGGAGAAGGAGGAGGAGGAGGAGAAGGAGGAGGAGGAGAGGGGTGGCCCTGCTAGAGCGCGTGGCACCCACGGTTTCTCAGTATTTGCCAGCATTAAGCGTATCCCTATCCCTATGGTTGGCATCACCTTACCTCGGGGCCAAGCGTAAAGGACCCCGTCAGCTTCTGGTGGCAAATCCCCAAGATTGTTATCGCCTTGGGCTTTGCCGGTCTTGAGGATAGGGATCAGCTCGAGGCTGGTGGAATATCCAGCTCGGAGCAGGGCGGTTTGAGACACTGGGAGCTCCAAATCGGTCCCATGGCCCCTCCTGGGGTCCAAACGCACCAGTTTCCCGAGCTGCGTGCAGCCGTGGCGACGAAGGGGGCCCCCGAAGGCCACCTACCAGTGTCTCAAACAGCCCTCCTCTGACAAGCGACAACCCTCAGAGGAAGGAAAAACGATAGAAACATCAAAGTTTGACCGTCCGCGCGGATCTCTTGCATCTGCCCTGGATCCCCCTGGCGGCGCCTCCGGCGCCGCCCCTGGCGCGCTCCGTGTGCTAGGTGGGGAGGTCCAGCGCAGATCAAAGCAATCCGCGGGGGCCGTCAAAAGTTGATGTGCAAGTTTGATTATTCGGCGTTTCGACATTGGGCGGACGGGGCGGGGGAGGGGGGGGGTCTGGCTCTGTTCAGGCGACGGTTTGCAACATGGCGCCCATGATGGGGGAGACTCCACCTGCTCGAAACGGGCGCCAAAGATAGCTGAGCTCTGCTCCACGAGGGGGGGGGGGCGGGTGGAGGGGGGGGGCGATGCGAGGGCCCGCGCCGATCGGGAAAACAGAGAACAAGGAAACGATATGCTGATGTGTGCGTTTCTTTTTCGTCCCGCCTCGGCGTTCGGGTCCAGGGCCCTAGTGTTGTTCGTGTTTGTTGGATGTTCTTGTGTATCCTGGGGACGGTCGGTTCGAAGAAGGAAAAGGAGCAACAGTCGAACAATGCCACAAGTAGTCAGACATAGTCGACAAATCAACCCCATACTTTATGGAATGTTTGAAGATTCCTCCTCTAGATGGACATGCCCGACTTATAAGCCTAAATCTCTCAGGACCCTCGAATACAATCGAAGCCATGACTCCTACAAGCCAAAAGCCTGGGGCCCCACGATTTCACCACTGTCGAATCGACCGCTGTGGCTTCAAGGGGGCGAAGCAGCATCACCATAGAAAGGGGTCCTGGCTTGTTCTCCTGCCTGCAGTGCGCGCGCCGTGTGCCCTATGTGCCAAAAAGTCTGCTCAGAAGCTGCCCCTGGACTCGTCCCTAGCAGTACACCCTGCGAAATGCTTAAGAAATCATGGGTTAAGAAATTCAGAATCTCAGAACTTGAATAAAAACCCAAATTTCCCATTCAAATCTTAGGATTTACATTGAAACATTAAGACTAATCGAGAGTCTGGCCGAACAAATAAGTTTTCTTAAGCATCGCCTAAGGTGTAGTCTGCCAGACGTCTCGAGTCGCGTCTTGCCCCGCCAGCGAGAGCACGGAGCTCGTGCAAACGGGTCGGACCGAGGAGCGTCGACACAGCGAGCAGGAGCCGTTGCTGCTTGCCTGCCGCCTCGGCTTCCCAGGAGGAGCCAACGCTGCTTACATCTTAACCCCTCGGTGACCCAAGATTAGGGGAACAAAAAGTGGCATAAACATAAAAACTCGGAGGTCCGCGCGGATTTCTCGGATCGGCGTTGGGCCCCCCCCGGCGGCGCCTCCGGCGCCGCCCCTGGCGCGCTCCGCGCGCCAGGGAGGGGGGCCCAGCGCCGATCCGAGAAATCCGCGCGGACCTCCGAGTTGTTATGTTTATGCCACTTTTTGTTCCCCTAAGGATAACCCGCGATGGCCCCCAGGGTGGCCCCCAGAGGCCTCTGATTGCCCCAGCCATCGCTGGAGGCGGTCCGGCACGCGCCAGCGTGCCACCCGAGCGGCCCCAGGGACACACGCTCAGGCCTCCGAGCTGCCGAGGCTGCCCTGTGTCCGGCGTGTCCCCCTACAGGGGGACTTTCGACGAAAAATGAAAAATACCCCCAAAAAGGTATAAAAAAAAACACACACACAAAAAAAAAATAGCCCCCAAAAATAATCCCCAGACTATTTTTGGACTATCTTTTGACTATGTTTGGGGTAGTTTGCAGTTTTCGTCGAGAATCCCCCTGTAGGGGGACAGGCCCGACTTAGAGGTTGCCCTCATAAGCCTCAAATTGCCCACTGGGGGCTTCTATCGGATGGCCGGAGCATGGCCCAGGAGGGCCACCATCCGGCCCCGCGGTAGCGCCACCAGCCTGGGGGGCTGGCTGCAAATAAATGGCAAAGTCCTTCTCACGAGCGGCGAACATTTGAGCAGGGACCGACCGTCCCGGCATTTCTATAGGCCTACCACGACATGTTCTTAGAACCCAAAAATGCTCGAATAACAACAATGATGTTCTTAGAACCGAAAGCCGATGTGTTAACGCAAGACAGTCCCAGCCAGCAGTGTTCCAAGAACAGTTCGTGGACGCCACAAGAAAAAGCTCTTAGAACATTCCCTGGTAGGCCTATGATAGGCGAGCCAGGACGCTCCGCCACTGCTCGAGACATACCGCATCCGCGCCCTCGCGGCCTGGGCTACGGGGCCTGAGCCTGCAGGTGCGCGGCCGCACGGGCACGGCCCGCGCGGGGGGGCCGCCGCGAAAAACGGCGCCCCCCGCGCCCGCGAGGCCGCGGATACAGATAATTATGCACTTCGCCCAACGGCAGAAGCAGAAACTTTCGGCGCTCCGCGCAGATTTCTCGGTCGCTGTGCGTTCAGGCTCGCGCGTTGCTAATTTGATCGGCCCGTGGCCCGGACCTTTCAACTCGGCGCCTGCGCTTCCGCTTGCGCCCGCGAGGAAAAAACAGATTTCTTGGATCTGCGCTGGACCCCCCCGCCCCTGGCGTGCGGAGCCCGCCAGAGGCGGCGCCGGAGGCGCCGTCGGGGGGGCCCAGCGCGGATCCCAGAAATCCGCGCAGAGCGCCACAAGTGTATGTACGTTGACGGCGCTTTTCTTCTTCGATCAAAATGTTTACGGCGTTTTTCTTCTTCGATCAAATACCAGAGGCCTCCTAGATGGGGTCAGAGTAGATGCGGTTGGAGGATCGCGCCGCATCGCCGACACATCGGCGATGTATCGGCGATGCACTGGCGATGCAACGTCGACATCGGCGATGCCTCGGCGACGTCGACGTGAAGCAAATCGGGCTCCACATCGAGCCGCATCGGCGATGCATCGGCGATGCGGCGCGATCCTCCGACCCTATCTACTCCAACCCCATCTGGGAGACCTAGAAATACGCTTTCACGGCCCAGCTCTCCGGCTTCAGATCCCCGTGCAGGATCCGGCAGGCGTGGCAGTAGGCGGTGGCGCTGAGCACCTGCTGCAGGGCCCCCGAGATCCAGGGGCCCCGCGCCGTCCTGGCCGCGTGCGCGGTCAGCGTGGCCCCTGGGGCGAATTCCATCACGACGTGCACCTGTTGAAGGGCAACACCACGAGCGGCGAACGTATCCATTAGAAACCTTCTAGATGGGGTCCGATTAGATGGGGTCGGAGGATCGCGCCGCATCGCCAACGCATCGCCGATGCATCAGCGATGAATCGGCGATGAATCGGCGACGTCGGGGATACATCCGCGACGTCGGCGTGAAGAAAATTGGGCCCCACATCGAGCCGCATCGCCGATGCATCGCCTATGTATCGGCGATGCGGCGCGATCCTCCGACCCCATCTGGTCCGGCCCCATCTAGGAAGCCTAGGTCCACATCCACGCCCTCGCGGTCTGGATTCCGGGGCGCGAGCCAGCGGATGCGCACGGATTATGCTTCGCGCAGGGCCTCCGCGAGCAAAACGCCCCGCATCCGCGAGGTCGCGGCCCAGGGGCCCGGCAGCCCGCGAGGCCGCGGATGCGGACATGCTCTTCGCCCACGAGGGCAAGAAGCCTAAACGGAACAACCAATCGACGTGGGTCACTGACGGAGCCGAGGGGAGAGAGAGGAGGGAGCCTGAGGGAGGGAGGTGCTTGGGATCACCCGGCATTTGGCTACATAAACGCTTCCAAGAGGCCAGGGGGCGGCGGCGGTTCGCTGTAGGCGTCTTCGGTCCACTGCCCCCGTAGCCAGCTGAGGGTAGGTGCGAAATCCTCGTCGACCGTGGTTCATTATCAAGGAATGATAAACCTAGGTTCATTATCTTCAGATGATACCCTGTGGTTTATTGTCCTGTGGATGGATCAAGCTGAGCCCCCCCCGGCTGAATCATTATCTTCCGGAATAATCAACCGAAGATTATTATTCCAACATTATGGACCACGGTTTATTTCAATCCGGTCATTACTCTCCAACACCCCCCCGGCTGAACCATTATCATTCCAGAATTATTTTCCCGGGGTCAATATGCCGGAAACATTCTGAAACCAGGTTTATTATCTCCTGCAGATAATGAGCCTAGATCAATATTCCAACATGAAAAACCTGGTGCGACACCAGGGCGTTGGGGGGAAAATAAACACATTATTATCATTCCGGAATTACACAAACCGGGTTCATTATTCCCGGGACATTATGAACCCTGGTCATTATTCCCAAAGCGTTATAAACCCAGGTTAACATCTTTTTGGGGATCGGTAGGCCCAGAACATTATAAACCAGGGTTTATAGTGTTTCGGGGGGAACATTATGAACCCCAATCAGTATTTCCGGAAGATTACAACCCAGGTTCATAATGTTCCGGGGGCGAAATTATGTACCCTGGTCAACAATCCCGGAGCATTATAAACCCAAATTAGTATCTATTTGGGATCCATCCTGAGCCTGCAGCTGGAGGGGTGCTTAGTGTGCCCGGGCTTATGATTTTCTCTTGCTCTTACAATATATTCTCGGTGACCCTCGGCTCGACCTGCCCATCACCCGGAAGGCACAATAAAGGCTGGGAGCCAGTGGCGCCCCCGCCCGATATTACTCCCAGAAGGCCTCCAAGATGGCCAAGTTGCCCCAAGATGGCCCTCAAGACAGTTTTGAGGTCCATCTTGGGGCAATCTTGGGTGGTCTTAACAAGATCATCCAAGACTGCCCCTGAGATGGCCGAAAGGGCCCGAAAGACCCCCCAAGAGGCCTCTATGAGGACCTCCAGGGAACCCGAAATGGCCTAGCACATTTATGTTCTAAATCTGTATAGATATACATATATATATATATATATATATATGTTTGTGTGTGTGGCACCCGGCCGATTGTGTGATCGTCGTGCATGGATTGTTTTACGGGCAGGCGGGAGCGGGCGCAGAAGGGGGGATGGACGGGGGGAGGGCAAGGGGAAGGGGAAGGGGAAAAAACCGTTCAGATCTCGTTCGCGGGCACCTTGGCGAAGACGCCACGCTGACAGGCACAGATCCGGTCAGAGTTGACAACCATATACACGAACAAGCAACCAATGATACGAGCACGACGACGATAAGATAGATGATGAATCCCGCCAACCCCCTGGGCAGGGGCAGTTCAGGGTGCCGCCTCCTCCAGAACAATTTCTTCTTCACCATCCCTGCCTCCTCGTGGTCAAAGGACTGCCTCGCGCGGCCACGGTGCTCCCGAGGACGGGATCAACACGGCGAAGAACAATCCAATATAGCATTCAACATGGCGCAGCATTTTTTGTTTTTGCTGTAGTTGTTGAATTATCATTTCTGAAGAATAATTATTGTTGGTCCCCCCTCACCGGTGCATGCTGTTTTTTCTCAATCAATGTGTGCCCCTCGACGCTCGCACCCTGTTTTTTGACAGGGAAAATCTTCCTGCTCAAACTGGCCCCCTGGCCCCCGGGTTACAACAACAACGGCTCCCGCCTGAGACTTCCTTGCAATTTAAGCAGGACCCCCGCTCCCGCCCGAGACTTCCTTGCATTTGATTGAGGAATCGCGCTCTCGCTTGGGACTTCCTTACAATTTATTCAGGAATCGCTATCCCTGAGCTCTGGAGTCGCGCTCTCGCTGAAGACTTGCTTGCAACTTACTGAAGAATAGCCTTGCGTTTGAATTTCTTGCAATTTGCCCTAGCGCCGCGCTCCCGACACCCAGGCACCCAGGAGTCGCGCCCGTTGTGGCCCCATGTGCATGCTCTTCGTGGCCCCGCTGTCGCCATTTGTGTCCCCCTCATTGTCCTACGTGGCCCAGTTGCTACCCTCAGTGGCCCCATAGTTGCCTTCTGTGGCCTCGCATTATCTGCACTTCGTGGCCCCCGCTCGTTCGCACTCTTCGTGGCCCCATACGCATTCCCTTCGTGTCCCCGCTGTCGCCCTTCGTGGCCTACTTCGTGCCCTTCGTGGCCCTGCTGTCGTTCTCTCTCGCTCTCGCTTTCGCTCGTCGTCGCCGTCGTCGCCGTCGTCTTCGACGTCGTCGTCGTCGTCGTCGTCGTCGTCGTCGTCGTCGGTCCCCTGTCCGTCCCTCTTGGGGTCGGGTCGACGGTCCGCGGCCGCCCCGCCGATCAGCGCTGCCGCTGGCCAGGCCGACGGTCCGCGGCCGCCCCGCCGCTTGCCGGGGCCCGGCCTGTAGGGAAGAAAGGTATACCCCCCAAGAGGGGTTCGATCGAAGACGAAGAGGGCGGGTATCGAGGGTTTGGGAAATACGAGTTATTGGACACTCGAGCATATAAGGGCGAACCGTCTTAAAATGATTGATGCTGTTGTTGTTGTTGCTGCTGTTGTTGTTGTTGCTGTTGTTGTTGTTCTTGATGTTGTTGTTATTCAACATGGCGCAGCATAGCCCACATCTGCCGCACTTTCTGACCAGCAGGGGGCAGGTCTGTTACCAGACGGCGGAGCAGCCGACGCGCAAAAGGCGCGCCAACCGCAAGACGCGCCAAACGCGCGCTGCCATAAACTAAGGATGCAGCTCTATGGAATACGAAACCCAGGTAATGGACGTATGTGGCTCGCACGAAAGAATGCGGCAACACATGCATATACATGAATGCATGCATACATACACATATAAATATACATCTACAAGTACATGTACACTTCCAGTTTGATCTACAAATGCATATGCATATACATAGACGCATGCATATACACATACATATACATATACACATGTACACACATTTACATACACAGTCGCATACACATATACACACATATGCATATACATAAACATATACATACTCCGAGTTTCTTAATAAGAGGGCGTCACCTCCGCCGACAGCCCCACATTGACCCCCGTCGCGGGTAGCCACCGCGCGCCGAAGGCGCTCCGACCCTCGTCGCGGCGCGACGACGCGGCGAGATTGACCCCCGTCAGGGGGGTACTACCCCTCCCCCACGCTTATTAAGAAGCCCAGAGTTGACATATACTGATTGGCAGCAGTTTCGCAGAGCCCCTCCCCCGGGGACGGCGAGGCCGAAGTTAGACTTGCGCAGGACGTCACCCTGGTGGACCCCCCAGCAGCCCTCGGAAGTGGCAACTGTCTCCCATCTCGCAGCCCACCCAAGGATGGCGCGGTCTCGGGGAGCTTCACGGCGGGTGAGGGGGAGGCTCTTTGGACCGTGTTGGACAGGTCTGGGGGGCTTCACGGCGACTTCGCGTTCGTCTAAGAGGCCGCTGGGGTCGTTTTCCGCCTGGTGGGAGCGAGCTCGAGGCCAGCCGGGACCCGTCAGAAGTCGCTCAGCAAACGTCGCAAAATGCATGAGACTCGGCTGTTGGGACTCGGCTTTTTGGGGCGTCTTGGAGGCATATGGGGTGCCTGGAGGCTGTCTTGGGCGTCTGGAGTCGCTATTTTGGCGAGGGGGGGCATCCCTGGATCGCGTTTGGCATTCGGGGGGGCTGGTTGGCGGCTTCGGGGGCCCTCTTGAGGCCATCGGGGGCTGTTTTCGGGCCGTGTTGGAGGCCTCCTGGGCCGTCTCAGGGCGAAATGGAAGGCGTCTGGACTCCACCAGAGCTGAACACGCGCACACGCGAAAACACGCGCACACCTGAAAATCCAGCAGACATCTGCACGAAATGCATGGCGTTCGGCCCCGCGGGGCCATCTTGGGCAGACGTTTGGCGGCTTCTTGGGGCGTCTTGGAGGCATCTTGGGCTGCCTGCAGGCTGTCTTGAGCGGCTTGCGCTATTTTGGCCAGGGGAGGCTCCCTGGATCGGGTGTTGCTAGAAGTGCCCCTGACCCAAGGTGCCCCTGGCTTTTCGCTCAATTTTGGGCCCCTAGGACCCTCTGGGCCTCGTGAGGGGTGCTCTGGAGGCCGCCTGGGCCACCCCGAGAATCCTAGGGGTACCATGGGCCAGGGGCACTTCTAGCAAAGCCCGACTGGATCGTGTTGAGCAGGTCGGATGAGCTGGTTGGCGGCTCTGTGGGCGGGCTGGGGACCCGCAAGGGCTCTTTTGGGGCCGCATTGGAAGTTTCCCGGGCCGTCTCGAAGCGCACTCGAGGGCGTCTGGGGCCGTTTCGCATGACACGGGACCTGGACGCGCGTATCTGAGAAAATCCTGCAACAGCTATCGCAAAATGCACGAAGTTGGGCAGGTCTTCGGCGGCTTCTTGGAGCGTCCTGGAGGCCTCCTGGGCTGTCTGGAGGCTGTCTTGAGCGTATTGGGTCGCTATTTTCTGGGACACACCAAATCAATAGACACAAATCAAAGGATTCCCCATATTTTCCAATATGTTCCGGGTGTTCGTCTTCCCCCCCCCTTCCCATATTTTCCCATATTCTCTGGGGAATCGACGATTCATCGTGTCTGTGTGTTCTTTCCCCTCCTGGTCCTGGGCTGCCTGGAAGCTGCCTTGAGCGTCCTGGGTCGCCATGTTGGTGGACGGGGGCCGCTCTAGGCCGGGACGGCCCTCGGAGGCCGGGGGCGCCCGTGGCGGCGCGGAGCAGCTCGCGGGGCCCCCCCCCGCCCCTGTGCATATGTAGAGTGCTGCGTGCACACTCCCCAAACAGTGCTTGCATTGAGGTGCTCTGACTGAGGAGCCAAACTCTGCACACCGACGCTTTCTCCGGCCCCGCATTGGCACTCGCACCAGAAAGCATGTAGGTGCTCTGATATGGACGCCCGAAATGGGCACGGAAAGCATGGGTACAGTGCCCAACAGCAAACGTTGTCCCAAACCAACAGCGGCCGCTGTTGGGCAGGCGGCCTTCTGCCTCGAACGGACACAGGCCGCGGCGGCGTGGACAGCGAGTCCTGTTCAAAATGAAGAGGAGCTGCTGTTGGACATTGTACCCAGTCTTTCCGTACCCATTTCGGGCGTCCAGATCTGACTGAGGAGCCAAACTCTGTACACCGACGCTTTTTCCGGCCCCGCATTGGCACTCGCACAATCGAAAGCAGATCCCGGTGTATACGGGATCCTGGGGTATGCCTTTTGCCTTGCTTCCCCGGTGAAACGGGGAAGCGAGTATACACCACACCACCCCGACGTCGCCCCCGACCCTGAAAAAATCCTGGGGTTGACAAGCGGCCCGCCACTGGTAATGCATACGTTCCAAGTTCCGACTTGTGTCTTTTCGAAAGAAAGGATGGTGGCCGGTCTGACGGCTCTGTGACAGTGTGGCCGCCACCGCCGCTCCGTCGCCGCCCGCGGGGCCTGGCGGCCGGTCTGGCGGTTGTGTGGCCGCCGTCGCCGCTTCGTCGCCGCCGCACACGTTGCACCACATAGTGTTTTTCCAAAAGGCATTCAGATCTACCGCCCCCCGGTCATATCGACCTTCCCTTGGACACCATGACTACATATGATTGTGATCTGCACTCGTACCATCCCAGACGTTCTTTTGTAGTCAGCACTCATACCATCCCAGCCCAGCCTGTATCGCCCCCCGCCTTCGTCTTATGTGAAACGTCAACGTGCAAGAAACCCGACCAACAAAAACGGGGCAAAACTCCACACGCGCACAGCGTCGCGGGCGCATGCCCACATCATTGCAGACAGATGGATCTCGTATGGCCTTCAAGATCGAGGTTCCCAAAAACATGTTTGAAACACAGTGGTGTTGCAACTTTGCTGTTTCTTTTAATTATGAAAAAGCTGCGCGCGCACTCTTGCCGACTCTTACGGAAACCCGCGGGATTTCCAACACATGCATGACATGCGGCCAAGCAGGCCTTTCGCGGGCGCGTGTCGAACTCATTCTAAAGCATGTGCGCGCGTGTTGGGGGGCACGATCCTTGTCAAATGACACTATGTGGGCCACTCGCGCCAGTCGGCCGAGCGCGCATGTTGAAAGCCAACCGGAACCTTCATCGCCGACACGTGAACACCATCGTCGTCATCGGCGTGATCAACATCGGCGCCGTCACTGGCATAGTCGTCGTCATCGCCATCTCATCGTCGCCACAAACATCGTTACTACCATCATCGCGTCTGCCTTTGTCGACGTCGCCATGATGACGCAACCGCCCGAACAACCGACTCGCACTGAAGTGCCCGAACGCCAGCGCGGCCTGCGAGACCCCAGCAGTCAGAACCACTGCGGCCGCGTCGGTCGCACCAGACTACCGTCAGCGGGACGGGAGGCTCGGAGAGGCTCAGGACGTTGGCGTTTGGGGACCGGGAAGCGGATGGCGTGTCGTGCCGAAGCGTTGTGGGCCAGAACCACCAGCGCTACACCCGATCCACATGTTCTCGACTGTATATAAAAAAACGTGTGTTGTTTCTTCTTTCTTTTGTGTGTGTGTGTTTTTTGTTGTTTGTTGTTTTGTTGTGTTGTGTGTGTGTGCGCGTGTGTGTGTGTGTGAATGTGTGTGTGTGTGAATGTAAGTGTGTGTGTGTGTGCGTGTGTGAATGTGTGTGTGTGTTTTGGGTGTTTGTTTATTTCTTAAAAACTAAGACACCGCTGGCACATGACTTGGGACACGGGCGGGACGCCGCCGGGGCACCACCAGGACAGCCGTGGGAAGCCGCGCCCGCCGCCCGCAGGAGCAGCAGCAGGGGGGGGGGACTGCTCCCGCCAGGCACCCCCAGCGGCCTCGGGAGCTCGCGCACAGCGTCGCACGCGCGTCGCAGAGCGGACGATGGCAAGACTGGGTCCAGTGAGACCTGGGTTAGTACGCATGCCAGGGGACGCCCCTCCCCAGGATACCCCCAAGAAGCACGCAGGGCGGCCCAAGAGGGGCCCCAAGACGGCCCAGGAAGCCGCCGAGACGGCCCCGAGGCGGCCCTGGGGACCTCCCAAACGGCCCTGAAGCGCTCAACGAGGGACCCACGAATGCCCAGAGAGCCAAGACCGCCTCCAGGGGCTAAGAGGTCCTGCAGAGGCCCCAGCCCGAGCTGCCGCCACCTGGAAAAAGACCACATGCTGCAGACCTGGTTCAGTGATTCCGCATCGTCGCTGGGGCTTCGGGGCCCAATCACGAAACGGCTCCCCTTACCCAGGGTACTGGCTATATCTGAACTGAGAAGGCAACGCTACGGAGGAAACAGCTCAGGGGGGGAAACATGACACATCGACATGGAATCGGCGATGCATCGCCGGTAGATCGGCGATAGACCCATGACAGCAAAACCGAACGCTCCTGGGCTGGGCGGACTACCAGCCCTCTACTATCGTCGATCATTGGGCGATTGGGGGTCGATGCATCCTCCCTGAGTCTATCCCCCCGTCGTTGCCCTCATTCACGCACGACGCGAGCATGAACTGTAACTACATGGTGGGGGCGGTTTCACAGAGGTCTTAACAATCCAACGGCCAATCGGTTTACTCGTCCAGTGGACCTTGCTCTCGGTCTCCACCACCTCGAACAACCGGATCAGATTCGGATGCGCAAGCGCATTCAGGATATGACCCTCGTCCTCGGCGGCGCAGTCTGGGCTCTCCGTTGGGGGGCGCTCGAACTCCTTCACGGCCGCCAGCTGGCCGGTGCAGCGCTCCTTGACTAGGACGACCGCACCGAAGTGGCCACAGCCGAGGTCCTTCACCACCTCGAAGCGGGGCAGCACCGCCATGTCCTCGAGGAGGGGCTGGGTGTACACAACACACCGCTTAGGCGGCCAGGGAGCTCGGCGCCTAGACGCCCAAGCTTCTCGAGCTGTGGATGCTGGGGCATCTGTGCACCGAGACCCCTCGCCAAGTTCCCTGACTCCTTGGTAGGCAACTGACTCTCGACGCCGGGCGACTTGGCACAACGGTAGTTCAAGATCGGCCCCCGGACCGCCCCCAGGGGTAGACGTACAAACGCACCAGCTTCCCATGCTGCGTGCAGCCGGGGCGACGTGGCGGCCCCCCGAAGGCCCACTGCCGTTGCCTCAACTCGCCCTCCTCGGACACGTGGTGTCTTCGTCGAGCCCCGTCCGAGCCTCGCCCATGCCGGCGCACCTGTGGTACCACAGCGTGTTGCGGGCCACGCCGGCGGGGGAGCTGGTGACCGGCACGAGGCGCCAGAGCGACCGGCGGAGCACCGTGCGGAGCTCGCACAGGGCCTCGGCGAGCTGGAGCCGGAGGGGCCCCGGGGCGGCCTCGCCGTCGAGCGGCTGGAGTGAGGAGGGCGACCTCTTCAGTCCTCGGCGCCGGGTGGCGCGGGCGAGGGCCGCGCGGCGAGCTCTGCTCCTCCTCCTCCTCCTCCTCCTCCTCCTCCTCCTCCACCTCCTCCCTCTCCTCCTCCTCCTCCTCCTCCTCCTCCTCCTCCTCCTCCTCCTCCTCCTCCTCCTCCATCTCCTCCATCTCCTCCTCCTCCTCCTCCTCCTCCTCCTCCTCCTCCTCCTCCTCCCACTCCTCCTCCTCCTCCGGGGCGGGCGAGCGGCAGGGACAGGCTCAAGCAAGCGCCGCAGGAAGGTGGGGTCTACAGGGCACTGGTCGCGACCGGCCGCGACGCTGCAAGCTGCTCGCAGCGTCGGATCCCAGGGTGGTCGGCTACACGCCGCAAGGGCGACCCTGGGCAAGAGTGGCCTTTGGCGCGCCTCTTTCGGGGGCCGCGGGGGGGGGGGGCCAAACTCGGGCGCGCAAGATGCTGCTATCGCCTCGTGTTCGGCCATCGGGGGACCCCAGTGCGCCAGCACTTCGAAAGTCAAACTGGCGAAAGGCCACCCTTGCGTGTAGCCAAGTGGGGGCCCGACATCATGTTTTTTTCACAACGCCGACTCTGGAGCTCTCGACCCCTTCCTCCCCCGGGACCCGTTGCTCATCCTGAGTCGCTTTTCGGCAGTCCCGAGGCCCGGCGAGGTCCCCTGGAGGCCGGAAATAGCGACAAACCTCCCGTCGTGATGTTGCTTCGCAGCGCGGGGGGGGTCCCGGGCCCCTGCGCGCTCAGACCCCCCCCCCCCTGGGCGCCCCGGCGCTGCCACGACGGCGTGGGCCCCGCACCCGTCGACCCCGAGAGGCGG